AAGCAGAGGAAGCTCCAGCTGAACCTGAGGAAGAACTTCTTCCCTCTGAGGGTGACGGAGCCCTGGCCCAGGCTGCCCAGGGAGGCTGTGGAGTCTCCTTCTCTGGAGATATTCCAGCCCCGCCTGGCCGTGGTGCTGTGCCCCCTGCTCTGGGTGACCCTGCTTGGGCAGGGGGTTGGGCTGGGGGACCCCCAGAGGTCCCTGCCAACCCCCACCATGCTGCGATTCTGTGAACTCACCACTCGAGACGAGTTCCACGAGTCCTTACCCTTTAGGGTCTTCCACGCAGCTCTTCAGCGTGCCGTCTCGTTTCAACTTCTGCATGTATCGCTTCAGGTCTTCTGAAACCGAGTGCACTGGAGCCGAAGAGAAAATGCAACGGGGTAAAACAATGCTTGTGCCCACTGCCTACGCAATCAGGGACGCTGAGAAACGAAGCTGGTTCCTAACCAGCAGACGCTGCCCTGATTCCTCACCAGAAGGCGTTCTAGTTATTGCTTGCACCGTTCCTAAAGGAACAGCTCATCTCTGTGGCCAGTTTAGGTCAGCGTGTCCATCTGCCTGCCTTCCCACAAACTCTGGTCACGCACGGCCCCTTAAAAACATCATCCCCGTCTTCTCGGCTGCACCCACCCCTCCTAGAAGGCAGCTGGATTCATTTTGGGAGGATGCTAGGGGAGGGTCGGTGGTTTGAAGTTCAGGACTACCCTTGCTGACGCGTATTATCGCACCTTACCGTTAGCTTTGAAAGCCTCCGGGCTAAAGCCCTCGGTCTGCTTCAGGGCGCGTTCGAACTTCTGCGCAGAAAACTGAGGGCAGAGAGAACAGAAGGTCTTAGCGCCCTTCCCCACGCTGTACGACAAAAGCTTGAGGAAGATTCGTTACTGAAGGGGAAAGGAGTCCCTCCTCCCCTCACACGTAATTTCACAACTCACACAAATCAAAACGTACATTTAGCGGCGGAAGAAAGGCGAGAGAAGTAATTCACTTTTAAAAAGACAGAGCCTTACCTGGAAACTGGACAGCAGCAGCACAGAAAGCCGGTCTATCTCTGGCAGATCCAGGCTAATTGATTTGCTTAATTCTGCAAAGTCAGAACAGGATTGTTTAAGAACAATTAAATTCACAGCAAGCTGCAAACGGCTGGAACGTTCCCGAAAGACACCAAAAGCCGTTGTTGTACGAGTGTGGTTTGCAGGACACGGAAGGAGCAGGGAGAAGTGGGAGAAACAGGGATGCCAACAGGGAAAAGTCGCACGAAGGGCTCAGCCACGGAAGTAAAAAGGCAGAGACAGCAAAGCACCGGTCTACAGCAGCCGTCAACGCAGCACCTCCTTCTATCCTCAAGTACCCGGACCTCCAGGACCACCACCACCTCGGACGTCAGTGGCTACCAGTTAGGAGTAACTCAATTAGACTAATTAACCTAAAGAGCGTGCCAAGAAATTCAATTTCAACTTGCTGCGGGCTGCCCTACAAGTTTCTCGAGCGAGCCTGGTGACGGGAAGCAGCGGAGCACGTACCGGTGACATCCTGGTGAACAGGAGGCAGAGATTTCCGGCGCTTTGTCCCCTTCAGGCTCGAACGACACCAAGAGCGGCGCTTGGCTTGAGGAGAGGCGATGAGCGGTCTCGGGGACAAGCTGCAAGAAGTCACTGTGTGGTCTTTCCTGGGACTGCTTCTCCAGGGAGACAGCCTCTCGGGGCTGGGTCTGAGGGGGCTTTTCCTGAGGCTGGGTTTCCTCGTAGCCGCTCCGGTCGTCTCGTGGGGACTAATGTTCTTCTTGCTAACAGCAGTTACGTCAGGAAGCTTTAGGAATTGCTCAGGATTCGCTTTTTTCTCTTCAGGGACAGATACTGAGAATCACAGAATCACAGGCTGGAAAAGACCTCTAAGATCATCGAGTCCCACCATCACCCCAGCCCCCCCACGCCTGCTAAACCCTGTCCCCAAGTGCCACATCCACACGGTGTTTGAACCCCTCCAGGGATGGGG